CTCACATGGGCAGCTTCTCAAGAGCACTGTTTAGGGGTTGAGAATGCCTGTTGCATGAAGGTGCAAATTTAGTGATGTTGTTTCAATGAGGCTCTCAGTTCAGATCCTGACCCCACCACTCTCTAGATATTCTACCTGGGGAAGGTTACTAGGATTCGTTCCACTCAGCCAGAGCGTGCAAATAATAACACCCATGTGATAGGCTTATTGTGAAGTTTATATGAAATAATCCACGAATTTCTTAGCACAGTAGTTGACACATAACAAACATTCAGTACATATTGGCTGTGTTTAAAACATACTTTTAAGGTATTTTCTCTGAGACATTTTCAGGTTCTTTTATATTGGAATACTATAGAAAAAACAGGTAGATAGTCTGACTCCCAAAGATTCAGGTTTCAATCCTTTTATTTGCCATTTAGGAACCATGGTAGACAATGGAAAAAAGTCATGAAAGGAAATTGATTTGACCTGTTAGTTCCGTGTGCATATTGAGAAATAGGGAAAGAAGTACATTGGGATTAGAATCAGCCACGCCTGATTTGATCTCGCACTTTGGTGTATTGAAACATGGACATATCTGAGGCTGGCGATGGAATTAAAGGGCCTTGGGAATACATTTTGTCCAGAGGCCACAATGTTAACATCCCAAAATGTGAAAGCTCAGCTTTCTGCAAGCTTCAAAAAACAGTAGAAAGAAAGATCCTAGAGCTCATGCCCTGCAGATGCATTGCTTTATGTCCTTGCCAAGACACTGTGCTTTCTGCAATTTAGTTTTCTCATCTGTCTGATAGGAGCTTTGGCACTTGCATGCTACTTTCGTGATTTTTTTTATCATATCACCACTCTAACCATGCCATGCTAGTATTTATTTACTATTTTTCTTTAGAGACGTTTTAAATCTAAATAATTGTATTTGTAAAGAAAACTCTGTATCGTGACCTTAAATGCAAAATTACATAGAAAAGATGATTTTTAATATAAATGCAATGAAAATAAAACAAAGTTATTAAAATTTAACTTTATCTCATTTTTTTGCCAAAGACTTTGAGCCTGAAGCCTGCACTGCGTTTGTTAGGTATTAGAGACTTGTTAAACCAGAGCAGGACCACACTGAGTCAGAATGACTGAATGAAATAATTTGAATCCCCTTGCTGTCATTCAGATTATTTAATGCTGTGCCCATTGTCTGAGATATCTCTCACAAAACACATCCCATGTTTGGGAAATGCTTGATCTTCTAGCCTCTGTAGAATTCTGGTTGATAGTGAATCTAAAGACAACTTAAGAAATTGACTTTTAACAAGCGAACTTGCTGATAACTTATTACAAATCTGTGTGTCTCACGGTTTGTAGACATCTCAGTTTTTATCAGCTAACAATACCCAAGAATTCTATTTCTCATCACTTGAAGATCACCTAGAAAAACATTGCTTTGTAGATCTCTTTACATTTTTTGCTTTCTCATTTTCATAATCACCAAGTCTTTTCTCATCTGTTTATCTTCAATGTGATGAAAACCAATAAACACTCACTTGTCCACTTTGCTGAAATGTATGTTTTATTTCATTGTTTCCATTCCTTTCCCTTTGGGAGCATCACTAAATGCTTCAGATTTCTAGCTCTGGCCCCTCTGACCTGCCTGTGCTTTCTCTCTACTGCCCACTAAGTCTCTATCTCTAAGCTGTCTCTCTGGTCTGAATAGAATGGCTGGCGGGAAATCTCATACACCTGTGTGCGTAAAAATCAACTGAGAGCAGTTTTTTAAAATGCAGATTGCCGCTCTCTCCGCCTCACTCCTGCCCTCCTGCCCTCGCTGTCAAAGGTCTGGTATGGATCCTGGGAATCTGTATTTTATACAAGTACCCAATATAGTTCTCATGCACATAGCCTCTGGACCTTTGAGAAAGATGTCTTAGCAAGTGATTCTCCTCCTTCTCTTCCTTCACTTCCTCCTCCTCTTCTTCCTTTTCTTCTTCCTCCTCTTCTCCTTCTTCCTCCTCCTCCTATTCTTTCTTCTAGAGAACAGGTAATTGTAAGTCTGTTTCATTAACTGCTAATATTACACTTCGTTGTAAAACTTCCCATCACATAAATGATTTCCATGTTTCCGAATGGGCAGAATTCTTGATTTGAAGGGCAAAATACCTGAAGTACTAGATCCACCATTACCCATCAATCAGTCCATGACCCTACATTACACTTTCCTATCCCTCTAACATGGAAATAAGACTCTGTACCTTCTTGCTCTAGAGATTTGCATTGAAGATAAAATGTGAGAAAAGATATGACAATGCTTTGTAAATTGTCAGGGATTTTTACCAACACGATTACAACAAGAAACTGCATTTTAAAAACTCATCCGTTAAAATATTGGAGAAAGATTCTTTTTAAATGATGTTTTGCATCAGGGATTTTGAGTGGCTCTGCCAATGTTTTTGATCAAACATATGTTTGAGGAGAGACAGTTGTGATCTCGCTGCATTTTAAGTTGTGGCATCTCAGCCCCACCCTATCCTATCCTACCCAGATACGTTTAACAGCTTTGCAATGTAATTTCACAGATTCCGGAATTGAGGTCTTTCAGATTCTTTAATACAAATCCAAAATTACCCTCCCTGTGTTTCCCGTGAAACCTCTTCCCTCCACATGGAATATAAAGTATCAGATACTAACAATAGAATATTAAAAGCCAGATTTGAAGCAATTACCCACAGCTTTGGAGAACAGTCCCACACACAGCTGGTGCCCAATCAGAGGGCCTGTCTCTGTCACCCACCATCCCCGCTACTCGTAGAATCAGAATGCCAGAGTTGCAAAGGATCTTATAGATTATCCTCCCCTTCATTTAACAAATGGGAAAAGTGAGGCACAGGAAAGGGACGAAGTCATCCAGAGTCACTCAAATGGAGGCATTAGAACCCAGGTACCTGTCTTCCGGTTGCTACACTCTGCTGCTTTCTTCTCTGAATTAGTACGGTGACTTTGTAGCTGGGAGTGAAAGGGGCTTCCTGAGTGTTAAAGCCACGTGCACTGAGGATGATCTTGTTGCACAGGATGGAGGTCTCTTGTGGTGCAGCATAATGTACCATATTGTTTTTTATCATGTATGAAGGCCTAAAAGGCAGATCACACTAAACTGTTAACTGTGAACAATTATGTAAGTATAACAATGAGAACCGCGGCTATGAGCCAACTATCCATAAGATCATTCTATCATTATTCTCAAGTTCTCATCCGTCCTGCTGAGAGAGATGGTTGTGAGTCCTTCATAGCGTTAGATGCTGGGCCACTGTTCTTTCTCCATGGCCGGAGCTATATTGATGTAACCTGGTATTAGGCATCAAATAGCAATACTAGAGTATTTTCAATCTTTATTTAAATCTCTAAAAGAATTGTACAACAGAGCCAATATATTGAAGCTGAGTTTGCCAGTGTCAAAGATAGATAGAGAGGGAGAGAAAGAGAGAGCCAATGTAGCCCTTCGGGAAACATTTCTCAAAGAACCTCTTCCTCTCTCCAATTGCTCTGGAGCCTTCCGCATGCCCAACCACATGGTTTTCTTCAGCTCTGATCTTTTTGCCTTGTCTTTTATCCTCACTCCTCATTCTTTATTATGTTTATTCATGTAACCCCTCTCTTTGTCTTCTGTACTTTCCTCCTACCATTGCAGGGTTTTTTCCCCTCCTTTACACGTTGTCTCCCTAGTTCTACATCACAGAAAACATTGGGTTCCACTTGGCAATGACTCTTCTTTAATGATCAGATGGAGTTAGCAGGAAAGAGTCCAATGTTAGTGTCACAGTCATATTGTGTTGCAATAAATGGAGAGGTCACATCACACTGCAGATTTCTCACAGGTGGAACATTTATAACATGCACCCCTGTACATATTCATTTCACCCAGGAATCTGCCATAGTGGGACAAAGAAATGCTAGAGACAGCAAGACCTAAATACTATATCTATAGTGGTAGTTGTCAAAATGATGAATGACAACACAGTAGAACAATTACTAGCACAGATGCTGGTGTCAAAAATGACTTAAATGTAAGGTCTGACCCTGTCATTTATTAACTGTGTACACTTGGGCAAATTACTTATACTCCTTGAAGCTCAGTTTCCTTGCCTGTGAAATGGATATAGTACATGAATTAAGGCACATAATGCATTCAGCCCAATGCCTGGCACACCAGTGCTGCACTAATGGGTGGTTGTTTTCATCGTTGCTAATAATGACAATAATAACAAACATGACACAAAGGGAATTTGGCCAATGAGAGATGAGAAATTCTTATTTTTTTTCTTCCCTCTCTCCCTCCTTCCCTTCCTTCTTTCCTTCCTTTCCTTCTTCTTTCCTTCCTCCTTCCCTTTCTTCCTTCTCTCCTTCCTTCCTTTTTTAGTTTCATTTCTTCCCTTTCATTCATTCTTCTTTCTCTCAATAGATATGTTCAATGAATAAGACAGATAGAAATGTAAGGGAGCACGTAAAGGCCTGAGGGCACATCTTGAGTTGTCTAGAGAGTTTACACTTTAAAAAGGCATGTGGAAAATCTGGAGGAAGGAACATATAACCAAGGATGAATCAAGGATGAACAAAAGCTATGTTCAGAGCTATGTTCGGATCTAACCCAGAAATAGTTAGATCTCATTATTTAGGGAAGAAATCTTGCATATTCTGCTGTAATAAGAATAGACTTCCAACTGGAAAGAAGAGAACATTTTAGGGAGAAAGTTGCTGTCCAGGATTGATGGAAAGCATTTAACTCTTTCTAGCCAAGATGTGTCATGTCTTAGGGGTTTAAAGGAACTTGTTGCTAACAAGTCTGATGATCTTTGTCTAGGACTGGAGAATAGGTGGAAGCCTGGAGATAGTAAATATTGCCCCAATTTTTCAAGAAACACTAAAGCTAAACTCCAGAAACCATAGACTCATAGCTTGTGTAAGTAAGATTCACTATTGTATAATAATTCATGCCAAATAATTTCTTTATCTGTTAGGAAAGACTTTCTGTTTGGCAGAGACATTTTAGCAAGGCATTGGACAAAGCCTGTCAGAGTGGGTCCATTCTCAGGCACATTGAGCATTAGATGTTTGACTGTCAGGAAGCCTGTTTTGGGGTAACTATGATTTTCTGTTTTATCTTGCTCAATATTTTTTACTTTGCCTGAAAAACTAAAAGGCAGATGACACTAAACTGAAATATCTACTATTGTAGATTATTTGATCTTCCTATGTGCTTGCAAAAACCTTAAGATCTAGTTTGAGTGGATGCTAAATAATCATATCTTGCATGTTAAAATTGCTATGATTTAGAATGATCTCAGCTGACTAAAGTGATATCAAACCAAGATAACAAAGTTTAACTGAGTAAAATGTGATGATTTATATTTTGACTCAAATAAATAAATAAATAAAATCAACTATGCAGCAATGTAGTAAAGAACCTTAGGAACTGACAGCTGTTGTATCAAAAATGATCAAAGTTGGCCGCAAGCTCAATATACGCCAATAACTTATTACCATTGTTAGAAATGAACTGAATTTGACTACATTCATAGAAGTAAACCCAATTGATGATGAAAAGTACATGATGTAAGTCAGGCTCATTGCCAAAATTTGTGCACTTTCCTAGTACCATAATTCAAGAGAGGTGTTCAAAGGACAGTGCCCATTATGGGGAATAATCTGGAAACCATAATATGTAATGAACTATTAAAGAAAATGGAATGTGTAGCCTGGAGTAGGGAAAACTTGGAGGATATAACCAGTAGAGGGCACAATGCTGAGGGGGCCTGATAGGCGCACTAGGTCCATCAGGTAGAAGCCACATGGACACCGATTTTGGCTGAACATTGATAGGTTATTTCTAATAGCTACTGTTGCCCAGAATTAATATGGACTGGCCTGTCATTTGAAATTCCTAAGTAGAAGCCAAATAGCTACCCATCTGCATGGCACAGAGTGTTCCTGCCATGCAGGTGGGCTCTTTCAGGAGATGGTCTGCAACATCCATTTCAATTCTGAGGTTCTGTAATCTTCTCCTCTCTCTAGGGATGCAGTGGAGTGTGGTGGCCAATGGGAGAGTCAGTGTCACCCGCCAGCAACTTCTCCTTTGGTGGCTACTCAGCCGAGTGACACTTAGGCCCCTGGGACAATGACCCAGAAGACAGCCATGCCTCCGAAAGAGGGCCAGGTCCTAAGCTGCTGCTTGCGCGCGACTGCACCCGGTATTCTCTTCACCTGAGGCCTTCCTTCCGCCGGTGCAGGAACCCGGTGCACGCTGGGCTTTTCCTCCGAGATTCCAGCAGGTGGCGCTGGAGGGAGTCAGAGGACATAATGGCCGCCTTGTTCACTTTTTATTTCCCAGCACTCCCTCTTCCCAGATTCTCTGCTCTTGCCGCATGGTCTCTGGTGTCTCTGACATGTTCCCGTCACTCACTGTGTCTGGTCTGTCTCACTCACGTTCTAAGCACGATAGCTTGTTGTGTCCTATCGCGGTCACTGATGTCTCCAAACACACCTTCTTTGCTGTGTGGGCTCACAGATATCAACAAAATACTCCCTCTCTGCTTCTGTCTTAGCCAGAGTCCTCGCTCCTGTCTTGCTTACTTGCTTGGTCACGTCCGTCACAGCCATGTTCAAGCTATCCCCTGTCTCTTCTTCACCCTGTTCTGTGCCAGACGCTAACACAGTTTTCTCCCTGTGTCTGGGTCCAAACGTGCATCCTCTTGGCCGGCCCCCTTGTCAGTCCCAGACATCCATTTGCTCTTCCTTATGTCCAATGTCCGTCCTCCTCTTCAGGACATGCTCCATATATTTTCCATGGAAGACACAGGGTCAGAGATCTGTCAGAGGAAAATGGTCTCCACAGCAACTCCGGAGGGAAACTGAAGACAGATAGCTTCCCCCTGGTGTCCTGGCCGCTGGCGTGTCTGCCCTGAGATGCTCACTGTCCTGCTGGGCTAGAACGGGACATCTTCTAAAGAGCCTTGGGCAGGGCTAGCAACATAGTAGGTGTTTATTAGGCTTCAAGATCTTTCCCATGAACTTGTGATGTCATTTTAAAACCTTTCAATCTGGCTTTGTTGCTCCCAAAGGAAGAGAACTGTTGGAAGTTAACACTGGGTAGACTCATTTTCCCCTACAGCTCCCCCCAGGTGCAGGAGGGCAGGATCCAGCAGTACTGGGGATGCGTAGGCAATACTGGACTTGAAGCCAGAGGACCCAAGTTGCCGCCCTGGCTGTGCTGCTAACAAGCTGTGAGATCTTGAATACTGTTTTTTCATCTCTGGACCCCACTTGCCACATCTGTGCGCTCAAGCTTGGACTAGAGGATCTTTAAGTTTTCTTTCTGTTTCTAGGACAACAGGATGCTGCTATAGCCGTCTGCTACCTCGAGAAGCCATGGCCTGCCTGCCTTCTGGCTTTGTTTCAAAGGAAAGACCCTCCTCATTTGGGCCTTTTAGACCCCTGACCTTTCCAGCTTTTTCATTTAGATTAACCTGGATGTCTTTTATTCAAAGCTGATCAGTGGCTCTTGCGAATGCCCCAGAGCAAAAGTCCCTGGAAGGTAAATGCCAAACCCAGAGCCATGTGAGATTCTGACTTTGATCTTGGCTGTGGTTTGATAGCATCTCAGGATTATTTATCATACTTTCCTTTTTTCTTGTTGCTTATGAAGTGTCAGTTATTGTTTCCATTGTTGTTTACTTTAGTTCTGGAACTGAAACTGACAGGAAGAAACTTTGGAATAAGGAAGAGAAGATTGACCAAACCATCGAAATGCCAAAAAGGGGAAAAAAAAAAAAAAGCCTCTCTGTCCTATGAAGGCTTAATTCTGTTGGGGTGAAAGTCATGTTTTAGGGAAGGGAAATAGCCTCTGAAAGAGAAATGCTATTCAGAAGTCGTGAGAAATATCTCTCCATGCTGAAATGTTCTTTGTGTGGACTGGGATTCTCCCTGATCAATGGAGCAGATTGAACCTGGGAACCATTCTTGTCACATATGAAGAAAGTTTATTTAAGTTCTAACTTGCACCCTGACTCTATGGCTGGACCAACCCCCTCGGATTTTTCAAGTCATTGTTCCCTTGCCATCACTAGGCTCAGCAACCACCATTAGCAGGCAAGCACCATTTGAGGTGTTTTTCTAATATGAAGAAGGGAGCAGCCAGCTTCTGGGCCCCACGGCTCTGGACCTGATGATGAGACCCACCCAATCTGCTGTGGCGGCCCACACACCCACCCACTGCCTGCATGAGTACCTTGGTGGGAGGAGTACAGCACAGAGGCAGCGCATGCACTGGGTCCATTGCTGACTTATTAAGCAAATTGAACTAATTCCTGAATGTCTCAGACCTCAGAGAGAATCTCTCTTGTCTGCTTCACAAAGCTGTTGTGGAGATAAGTAAGATAAATTTTTTTGTGAAAACATTCTGTAAATCATAAAATGCCATTCCACATATTTATCATTACTTTGGGCGTTTTGGATTACTGTGGATGTGCCTGAGCACTCAAGGACTAAGAATTTATTTACCAGGAGGTAAACCAACTTAAGAGAATAAGTTTCTATGTTGATAAAGAAACAGAGAAAGAAATGACCCAGGGCAAAGTTCACAGGAAGGTAAATGCCAAACCCAGAGCCTTGTTAAAAAAATAATATTTTAAGAGCACCCCTTGGGTATTAATTCTTCCTGTATTCCCAGCACTTTGGGAGGCCCAGGTGGGCGAATCACTTGAGGTCAGGAGTTCAAGCCTGGCCAACATGGTGAAATTTGATCTCTACTAAAACTACAAAATTTAGCTGAGTATGGTGGCATCTGCCTGTAATCCCAACTACTTGGGAGACTGAGGCAGGTGAATTGCTTAAATCCGTGAGGCAGAGGCTGCATTGAGCTGAGCTTGCACCACTACACTCCAGCCTGGGCAATAGAATGAGACTCCATCTCACTAAATGAATCAATCAATCAATCAATAACATTCTAGGAATTGTAGAAGCACCCTTTGGGTATTAATTCTTCCAAATCTGTCCATCCTAATTTGGTCATTTCAGGTTGCCCAAAACACAAATTTATGAATGACAAAAACTCATTTAAAGGGATTTTGTTATTCACAAAGTAGGGGACTACACGCTAATTTTGATGATAATGAGTGTAACTTCTCATATGACTTCAAAGTCACATGGAATAAGATTCAAATGTCTGTTCACTATAAAAAATGTATTTGAAGAAGAAAATACTTGGGCCATCAAACTCATCCCCACACTGTAAATTATATATATACAAATCCTATGAAAAAAATCAAACATGGACCAGACTATGACCAGCTAGCACGAATACTACATAAAGAGTCAACTAAGATATTGAACCTGATAACTTTTGAGAATTTTCCTGATCTGATAGTCTATGATTGTTAATTGTGGTTTAATGCCATTTTAGCTAACACCTTAATTTTATTTACATTTTTAATAAAGTAGAATTACAAAGGGGCCACTTATGCAGTTTATAATGCACTGAGATCCCTTGTATAATCAACATATAAAGTACATGTGTGCCCACCACATAGAACATGAAACAATTCTATCATTTCAAAGGATTACAAATTGTAATGATGGTTTTGTTTTGGTTTGTGAGATTGTATAGCTATGATTTATTTGAAGTTAAGGCTTTGAAGGTCCTAGAATCCCTGATTCTAACTTTGTTTACATGGAAAGCATCTTTGGCTTTATGATTATCAACTTTTTGATGCAGTTTCCAGAAATGTGTTATGGAAAAAATTGGAGCCTACATAGATTTTTTAATTGATAAATTCTATTTATTGATAAATTATACATATGTTTATATGAGTGCATTCTGTACATGTTTATATAAATTATATATTCAAGGAAAAAAATGAGTCTGAAAACTAATGACTGAATTTTGAATATGCAATAAAATGCCAAAGTCAACTCCCTTGCCTCAGTCTTGTGGAGCTTCTTGGGAACCTCCAAGATCCCAGGGCATCCTCCGGTAGCTATGTCATTTGAAGCTGGAGAATTTCCTGACTCCAGTACCAAGTTCCCCTCAAAGGAAAGCTAGGATCCCCAGGCCCTATATAATATGATTTTACCAGATTCTACCTGTCTGCCTGTCTGTCACCATCAAGGCCTCCAACAATAAGACAGATCTCTATGGCATGGTCACCTCATGAGCAGAGGATGGGGATCCTGTTCAGCTACTCTCAGAGCACAAACCACGAGGAGCCATTTAAGGCAGTGTGACAGTATATATCTGGAGGTCTCGGATTGAGGTTAAGCATGTTATCCCTGCTGAAGCTTTTAGGGAAAAAAAAAAAAAAACTGGGGAAGGTGGGTGGTGTCATGAGCCATCCAAGAGCCTGGAGTTCGTCTCCCTTAGGCCCAGGTTATGTGTCAGTGAAATCTAGGTACCATCTCTTCTGGGTGTGGAACAATGGAATGAACCCTGTCAGCAGTCAGGAGACAGAGCAATGTCCAGAGTAAAATAGACTTAGCTCTTTTGTTTACCTCTTGGGACCTATCTTCTCACATATAAAATGCCAGGGGTGGAGAAGAATTAGGTTCTCACATCAGAATCCTTTCTTCATTCACAAATTTACCTGGAATTCCATCACATGAAAGATTCAAGCCGGATGGGGAATAGGTAGGTCTGGATCCCCTATCTCTGGTTATTGTAATCTATGCCCTGGAAGGAATCTTCTTGGGAGCCTAAAGCCCAATCGCTTGACCAGGGAATATCCTCTGTGCTGGTGCTTATTTTCCTCCTGTCCTTAGCTTTTCTGAGGCGGTGTTCATAATACTGCCATGAACTGTTTTTTCCAGGTGACAGTCATTTCCTCAAAATCACGCCTCCCCGTTACAAAATCTCTTCTTCCAATCAGAAAGCACACTGTCTCCTGAAACTTCCTTCCTAGAATAGAGATCTGAGCCTTCACTGGTTGTGAGGCACCTGCTACTAGACCCCAGAAAACTCCTGCAGAACCCACCTTCAAACTAACCTACCCTTGGGAGAATGCCCTCTTTCTTGATTTCTTTACAAATTGTCTATTTTCATGTTGGAGCATCTCTAGATTCATTCAAGGGGAAGATACTAGTATTGATTTAGCACTTACTGTGCGCTACGTGGTTTCTATTTGTTATAGTTTAATTCTCTCAATAGCACTATGGCATTCAGAGAAAAAGAGATTTTCTGAACACCAGCTATGAGGTAGGGTCTCTTGCCAGAAACCTACTAATAAAGAAACCTGACAAGGTCTCTACTCTCTCGTGTCAGAAACCAGAAAATAAACAAGGAGACATATATACATGAATAAGACAAGTTTAGATACTGATACGTGCTATAAAAAGAATAAAAAATAGAGATGGGCAAGGGGATGTTTCAGTTGAAGTAGTTAGGCGCGGTTAGATGGAGGAGGTGTGCTCTGTGATGGGGGACAAGAATGCTAAGGAGTCAGGCATATATTTCATCTGAGGGAATATCGCGTCAGGTAAAGGGAAAGGCAAATACAAATGCACTGGGGCAGAAATGTGCTTGACATAGCCAGTATAGCCTAATGAATGTGAAAAAAAGTGGTAGGAGATGGGATCAGAGAAGTGAGTAAAGGCTGATCATAATCCAGTAGCTTTGGTGCCATTTACCAGTTACTACATGTCAGCCTCGGTGAAAGCATTTTACATGAGACACCTCATTTAACCCTATTAAGCTAAGTATCATTTTCCCATCATAGGGATCAGAAAACCAGGCTGTACGTCAGAGAAGTTAATCTGGAATTTTTAAGGATGCAGAAATTACCTGCGGCTGGAAATGGAGCGCAGGTTCCACCAAATCTAAGGGGACTTGATTCACCTGAGGCCTGTTCTTGTTAGCAGCAAGAACAATCTTTGAAATGGATGGATTCTCTTCTTGTGCACTATTCCCCTTTGCCTCTTTGTTTCTCCGTGGAATTTTGGCTGTCTGCAAACAAAGATGCATTTATGCAGTAGGTCTTCGTTGATTTCAAGTTAGCTAGTTCCAAATGGCATCTAATTGGAAGGAAAAGCCAATTATTGGCCAGCCAGAAAGTGATTCTTGATAAAAATTATTTTATCAGAAATGAGTGGAAATCAATCTGGCTATGTAATCGTAGACTTTCTCATGCATTTCCTTATCTCTATCCTTACTGACATCATCCTTTCTACAACTGACATTATCTTTCATCTGCATTGGGGAATTAGGCTCTAAAGCGTAACTTTCAGCATGCCATTTCCCCAATCAAAACCCCTCAAGGACTCCTCATGGCCTACCAATACTTTCTCTAAGTCCACTGTCAGAGTTTTTCTTCCAGTTATTCCCCTCATCCCTGCAAAGCAAACAATATGCTCAACTCTTTGGATTTGCACATTCAGCTACTACTCCTGCTGTTCTTTCCACTGGGCATGCTTCCCCTGGCACCTCTTACATGGTGTATTTCAAATACCACCTCCTACCCGAAGTCTTTTCCAGCCTCCAGGACTGCATGAGGTTTTTGACCTATTCCAGCCCCGAAACACTTTATTTGTTCTTCTCCTGTGACATTTCGATATGCTTTTCAGTGCGCTTCATTAATTATGTTCTTTTTGATCTCTCCTACTAGATTTTGTGCTCTTTGAGAACTGTGGCCAATTCTTATTGCTCATCTTTCTCTTTCCTAGTGCCCAACACAGGTTTTTGTGCACTGAAGTTATCAAATAAATTCATTGGATGTATTTGTTTGAAAGAATGTGAAGGTTTTCATTGTTACGGCATCTCCACTGTACCAGT